CAATATAAACAAATTCAAGAGATCTGATTTGACCATACACATTCATTTGCTATTACTAGATTGAGTTAAAGTTGAAAGTTTGTGATTAACTATTCATGTTTTGCGTAATTTCAGCAGCATCCGCATGTAATAATACACCATAATGATGATCGGTAAAGTACAGCTACTGCGCAACTAAAGATTTCTAAATATCTCACCGCAGTTTTAACAGATTTGAATTAAAATTTATTTTACTCTACTGCACAAGCCTGAGAAGTTTTCATCATTGAGTTAATTGTTATGTGAAAAGGAAAAAAATGCCAATAAAAGTAAAAATTGTACAAGTAAATGTGCTAATTTGTTCCTTTATTTAACCAAAAGATAAATATAATGTTTGATAGTACACAGATAGGCCAAGGCAAGTAATTATACAGAAAGAGACATTAGATAAATATCCAACCTTCACAAGTTATACAAAAGGAAATATAAAGGAAAAATATGAAAATATATGTAATTTTCCACTACAAAAGACTAGTAGGACTGGGCTAAAGCTGACAGTAGAGGGTGCTGTTGATGTCATGTGATGTGTGCAAAAGTTCATGTCAGCTCTCTGAGTCAGATATCATCCTGATATGACAAATGTTGCTTAAGTTTATCATAGAATTGGTTTTTATGTTAAATTCTCGCGGTCGCATGGATTCTAGGTTGCAATTTGGCCAAATCTATGTTGTGCAGAAGATGTAGGATGGTCACGCATGAGTAAATATGTTCTAGCGTCACGTCGTGCAAATCAAAAGCTTCCTACTGTAAAGCCTACACCATACAAGCAGGCAAATTCCAATTCATTCGAATGCCCCATCCCATAATGAACTACTATAAAATTAATATGAATGCAAAATGTGTACAGTAAGAATACTGCTCTGATGCGACTTGCGGCAGCCAAACTTCGAAGGATGGCGCTCTTTCATGAATTGTGCGAGTACGAATTGTAACAGTATGAAAAATAATATTCACTTGATGAGAAAAATAATTTTAAACCTAGTGAAAAAGTTAATATTGCTCATAAACAAATATGATACATTGATTTTGATTGGTTACACTATGGTTTTCAAATACGCATTGTACCCTGCATCCTTATAAGCCAATGCCATTTTCACCGGGTCTTCTGCCTGAAAGAGAGAGACAGAAAAACAAGTTATTTTTAGAATATGATGCATATTTTCTGTGTCCAGCTTTCTACTCCAGTCTAGTTTATTTTTCTTATACAGATGTTGTGGTACCACCCTCTTTTGTTACTCCAAATTCATTTAGATTTTCTATTTCTGGCAGTTTTGATCCATTATGTTTGCTTATATCAGTGGAATTAATTTGGTAAAAAAAAAAAAAAATAAACAAAATTAATGTCATATTTACCTGATAAATCCCTCTACCAACAATGATGATGTCACTTCCTCTATTGACTATGACCTCTTCTGGGGTCAAGTACTGTTGTTCCAGGTTGTCCTTCCCTACAGCCATTTTAACACCTATAAAACAATAATAAAAATGTTTAATATTAAAATTTCATTAAAAAATACAGTGAAATATATATTATTAATATTATTATTATTATTATTATTATTATTATTATTATTATTATTATTATCAATATTATTTACTTATATATTTTTTTCAACATGGATTGGAATAGAAAAATGATTTGTCCTTACCTGGAGTCATATGAAGAAATTTAGGGTTGGAAGAAATTTTTGAGGTTGAAATAAATCCAAAAACAAAGTCAGAATGTTCCTCAGCCATTAAAACAGTTGCTAGGGAAGCAAAAACAAATATAACATAGCACTGAATGATTTAAATCAAATAATACATGTTATATTAATTATTCTTCTTCATTCTCCTAACTGGGGTTTTATGTATCATCAATATATAGGCCACTAGCCCATATATTATAATACATTCAAGAGTTTTCAGTGTTGCAAAACATTCATTTCTCTTCTGAAAAGCAAAATATTTGCTAGTTTTTGTGTTAATTTTATACTGTATTAGAAATTAATAAATAAAATTTGTCAATGTAATTTGTATGTATAATACAATTTAGGAATAAAATCATTTCTGATCTGAGAATAGAAAGAACAAATGAATGTAAAATAGAATTCATCTCCGATTGAACTTAAATTACAGAGTTTACATAAAATGCCACTGGAGTGTAATCTTATTCCATCTACCCTTCTCAACTTCTGAATTAAGAACTTTTAAATGAAAATCTAGAAAATAGTCTTTTACGTTTAAAATCATATACCGTAAGTGTAATAAATGGTATAATTTCTAATTTTGTTAAAAAAAATATTAAAGTACCTTAATTTTGAGTGTAAAATTCATTTATTTCATTTCTCTTAAACCCGTCTTTATCAATTTCAATAATATGTAACCAATTCAGAGAAATAATGCACTTGAATTTGTCTTTTTATCTGTATTTGGTGAAATAAATACTGATTATGAATATGAATACTGAATACTCGATGTATAAAGAATATCTGACAATTTCTGCCGTAATGCCAACGCTAAGAGCCAATTTTGAAAAATTAGAAATTAATTAATCAGTATAGTTTCCTAAAAAGTTTTGCATTAGAATGATTGCAGCATCATCCAATGCCTACTGCCTGCAACCTTTTTGAGTACTGGAAACATACAAACAACTATTTTCACACCAGTAAAACATAAAACATGGCTGTATTCAACTGGTTTGTTTCGTTACAAAGATATATTTTGTTGAGTATTATTTTCATTCGACTGGTTCGTAAAATCGACTTAGTTGACAATGGGAATTAACATAAACAAAAGTGCGTTAATTTACAATGAGTTATCCATGTGACTAAAACAAACATTGCCGATTGGTCAGTTTAGTAACAACATTTGCATTAATATAATTTAGATTAAACTTTAGAAAATAATAATTATAATATTTATCCACATAACGTCAAAAAATATTTTATTATGCTAGCTTGTATCGCAATAACTACACATCCATTTTGTTTTGTCGAGTATCCAGTTTTCTATTATTCGCTATTGACAATCCTTGGCACAAGTATTGTGTGTCTAAATAAATAATAATAATAATAATAATAATCTTTGTTAAGTAGGATTTTACCACAGCGCAGACAGGCGTGTTTGAACAAAAACGACCAGTCGAATACGGCCGATGCTGTTTGCACTTGGATTTACATGTACTGTAGGTTTTAAGGTACCGTAAGGCGACCGGTGTATAAGGTGATGAGTTTGACAAAATTTTTGAATGATTTTTGTATGTCATATTTAAAAAAAATCTAAAATTTGTATGTCATGTGTATTAGTCCACTCCTGTTTTTCGATCATAATGTACTATTTTAGGCCTCGTCTTACACACGAATATATACGGGTAGTACAATTGTTTGCATGCATGATTAGTCTAATCGTGGTTATACTGTGAAAATGTTGAGCGGTGCATATGTCTTAGCATGTGCTCAGAAAGGTTTAACAAGGTCGTGCTCTTCACATTGTACTACTCTATTCAGCAAAAACAGTCATGATATTCTTTCTGCGGAGCTTGGTCAACCTTGCCTTTTGACTTGGGTATAGCCTGACCAAGAAGAATAATAAACAGGCTTTGCGTACTGGACATTCTTACCAGGTACATAGACCTCACAAAATTTCAATCCAAGCAGGCTTTTAGTAAGTAAAACTATTTTAGATATACATCTAACATCCAGCTTTTAACCATCTTGATAGACACATAAAAATTAAAGCAGGCCTAATTATTATAATGTCATCAGTTCTATTAATATTTAGGCAACCATTTTGATCAAATATAAATACAGTATTATCAGGTATTACCATCTGTATATGTTCCTTGTGCTAGGTTCCCCTTGGAGCTCATCTGGCCAATCAGAAGACAGCCTCGGTCTTTTGGCATTCCAACTTCTTTAAGGCCCTTAATGACACCATCACCCGGCACTGTATGAGCATTAATGATGTGAGCCCAGTCACTGGTCTTGAAAATGCCTGAGCTATATTGCAGTTTCACTGTGTTGCCGATGTCTGCATATTTCCTGTGCATGATGGGAAAAATGTAATTGATGACAACACCAATGTTACACTGAGGGAGTAGAGAAAGTGGGGTGGAATTTGAAATACCTAATCCATGAAGCGATGTTTAAAACTATGGTCTGTTCATACAATACGGACGACAATGTGGTGGTGGCACACGTAAGGGATCATTTTTAATAATGAACACTCACACCGAAAAAAAATAATAGACCAATTAAACCCAAATATATTCCATATCAGTAAAGTGTAGTCACTGGACACTACTGTATTAGTCATCTATTTTCCAGTGTATTATAGAATATCATTACGATAGAAAGTTCATAACGATTCCAGCTCTCTAATTAGCCACCATACGTTAACAGGGGAATATTCATGAACAAGTACTATATACTAGAAATTGCAAATTGCAAGTGAAGTGCTGCGAAGTACAACTGCATATAAATGTTGTTCGAACAAAATTATTTATGCGAGTCAAGTGAAAATAATGAATAATAAAAATATAACAAATAATATGAGACACGACCCATTGTCTATAATTAGAACACTTCTCATTAGGTAACAAAGTCGTAATTTTTCATTTTTTTCAAAAAGTGTCTATAGTGGTGAATTATGGTTTAGGTTTTTTTTAATAAAGTTTCAAAAATTGCTATGTATGTGGAAAATGTAGTTGATTACTAAAGGTTACAATTTTTATTTTGAAGACTGCATGGTCTAGGAAGAGTACATTTTTTTATGGGGCAAGTTTCCAAGGGCGGGTTTTCTAGGGGCGAGTTGACTGCCAAAGAGTGTTGCCAAAGTGCGAGCCAGCGTGTTATTTGATCTGAAAGTGCGAGACATCGCAAGTGTGAGCCAGCGAGCCATGACGTCATGACAATAGATAGAGACGTTAACGAGTTGTGCGAGGTATTGGCTGAGATTTGTGGAGTACAATTCAAAAAACAACTATAGGTCTAATAATGAATTATTGTGATGTTAAATAGACAATGTTAGCTATCAAAGAGCGACGTTGTTTTTTATTGGGACCTTCGTTCCTTCAAGGCTAGGCCTATACCATCCTAGCTAGTCTAGGTCTAGAGAGCGCGAACATGCGGACGTTGGTACGAGTAGGTTAGTCTACAAACGTCGCCTAAAGTAATTGATTTTACCCGGTAGAACGAAAGAAGGAAACTCCGCATTTCAGTCGTCTTAGGCACTTGTTTTTTGACAAACAATGACCTTTCAGAGGTCAAATTGCTGTCGAGAATATGAATTGGCTGCTTCGCAGCAAAAAGAACCTACCTGTCTTCAAATATCAGGAATTGATGTTTGTCTGCTAAACTTAGCAGCGATTTAATGAATTCCTCATTGAAATCATCCAGAACATCCACATGAGTTTTCAAAATACAGATGTATGGACCGACAAGATCTGCAAGCTAAATACAAATTTTTTAAATATGTAAATGATACTTAGGAACTTTATCTTTAGAGATTTCAAGGCAGCAAAAGGTGTAATAAAAATAAAAAAAATGTTTTTCCTGAAATTTCCATTTTTGTTCATGGCAGCAGGTATGCTAATTGGCCAAAGATTAGATTTTATTATTATTCGAAATCATCATTATTTGCGGGTTGCGGGTTCAATAACAAGCTATAAAAAAGAACTCTTGCCTAAATTTGCAGGAACAAAAATACAACAAATATAGTAACAAAGTTGTTTTTTTTTTCCCACTAATTTTTCTGCTTTCCTATTGGTTGCTTCCTATGATATCAATGTATATGTTCCATGTTAACATCAGCCCATGTCATTCTGGACTTGATAATAAAATAATATAATGAGCCAAAGAGTCAAACTTTGGACCATTGCGCTATGCCTTGCCTTTTGGAAGGTCCCATAACACTCCAAAATGGTCACTTGATCGTAGGCAATATAGGCATTAATGAGGTTTCTCACGGGAACGAATATGTGTACACATACAGTATGTTTAGCTATCCGTTTGTAACGGTTTGTAGCCATGCTGTGCTTTTTTTTACAATGAAGCGAAATTTAAGCGCGGCGTCGGGCCTTAGGCCAAGCCTAGGTCCTACCTAAGCTTAGGCTATTCCGTTTTCTTTTTCTTCTCTTATCATGCTTCTTAAAATTAGATTTCGGCATGTCCTAAAGCCGAATAATACTCCTTCCCTTGTTGCCCAGAAGAGTTGGTTATTTCATGACTCCAAAATGCCTTGCTACTATAAGCTAGGCCTAGGGAGGCCCCTAGCTAAGCCTAGGCTACAGGACAATCCTGACACCACCAAGCACCGATGTTTTTTAATACGCCAAAATGAGACGCATCCTATCGTAACTTGCTGTCTTCAAAAATCACAAAAAATGGCACGTACGTATTAAAAATACATTTATTTTTTAAACTTACTGTAAAATGTGAAAAAAAAAACAAAACAAAGATCATACATAGTACTAGAAATCCAAAATTTACCTACGCGTTTTTCACGTATGTGTAGTAAGTGAGATATGCGTGTCGGCAACACGGTTAGCGGATAGCAACCGGCGTATGATGTCATAAATGATGACGTATATGTTACACTAACCATATGCGTTCGCATGTGAAACCTCCCTATTGTGAAATATAATATCCATATTTATTATAACTATATGGAAAAATATTAATAATTTAAATTATATTTACTAAAATAGTATATATACATATAATACCTTAGATATTTGTTAAAAATTATATATTTTTTATTGTTATATTGTGAAAGAAATAAATGTTGATTTGATTTGATGTCTACTATTACTATGACATAAATTGATATACATACTGAACATTAAATATAAGTCTACCCAAGTTTACTAAGCAATCAAAACATTATGGTATGAAATATAGCTCACCTTTAGAACCTCTTCGCATGTTACAACATCCACAGAAAATGCTAAATTTGTTGCTTTCTTCTCCATGATGTCCAAGAGTTGCTTAGCAACAACATGGGAGCAAGCTTCCTTTCTGTCTTTGTATGTTAAACACTGAGAAGCAAATAATAACAAAAACATTCATATTGTTACAGAAAATGTCTGGCTTACTAATATGCATGGGCGTAGGCTGGGGTAGGGGAAGGGAAGGGGTAGAACCCCCTCCCTGGTGGCAGCAAATCAGTTCCACTAAGTGGTTCAAATACTAAATATGACCACAAAGTTTTCATTGGAATAGGGATTTACTTCTGCATTCTGGGATTAAGTTCCATTTTCTCATTTTTCACTCCCACCATTTCCTCATTTTTCCCTTTTCCAAAACCAGCCTATGCCCCTGTCATGGAGGTAAAATATTATATGAAAATACCGTAAAACTTATAATAGAAACACAATACTCCAATTTTCTATTAGTAACCGACCGTAAAAATTTATCTTCAATAATGACCCATGATTCTAAGATGACCCATTAGGGTTATAATTGGAATACAAGAACTTCTTATGCACATAGTTACCAACCTGAGAGATTTGAAATGCGTGACTATACCAGTTGGGTAGAAGGCGGGGGGCTGCGGCCACCAGGGTGCCCAGGGTCCAGGGGTGGTACCCAGTGGGGGCCCTGGTTCCAGTCACATAATCATTGGTTGGTTGTGACAATGAACGCGCAAGACTGCACGTGACTACTAGATTCTACTGGCTGGGTTGTTTTGGTCAGGAAAGAGAAATTTTCTTGGTGAATTGAGTCTCGAACGAGATAACGAAAGCTCTCCAATGACTCAAGTTACTGCATGACCGCTTTTATATTTTTAATAAAACCAATTTCTTATAATTTTAAATACATTTTCCGCTGAATTTGTGATAATTCATTATCAGGCATAGACTTGTGCTAAATTGACAAATTTATGATCACGCATGTGTTTCTGCAAAAATGCATGTTTCATCCAAAATCACTTTGAAATGCACGACCGTCTAGAACGATGCGAAACAGTTGGTAACTATGTATACATTTTAGCCCTACAAATGACAGTCAAATCAAGAGTTTATCTTACAAGAGGTTTTTTAATTTTGATTTTTAATATCTATGTAAATCCAATTGTAACCCATACTAAAAACCAAAGAAAGGAATAATGACCCAGTTTCTATCAAATGGTTTACTGTATGCTAGGTCTCATCACAAAATGAGTTTTGTGGACATTTAGTCTTTAAATCAAACTCCTAGATTAAATACAACTGGAGAAAGTTCTTTTTGAAATGCAGATTTCTGGAAAACATACTTAAAGAGAAAATCACTCTAAAGATGGTTTATGAAAAACACTTTAAAACTAAACCAACTCAGAACCTTTCCATCAGAACACTTGAATTTGATTTTTTGTCAAAATATGATTTTACACTCTTTCTGAATATATCGGATTTCACACTCTTTCTGAATATATCAACTTTGTTGAAATGTGACTCATAACAAATTTCTGTTATTTTTTTTAAATATATTTAATTGAGGCTTCTAAACCAAAACCAGCATACTGTCGCTAAATGTTAAAATGAGATGTGGTAGTATTGTATACATTAGAACAGAGAAGCCATAAAACTTTTACTAATAACTTTGGCAATAGTAACGTAATTCCAGTAAATTACCTATTAACATTTATAATGTGAAGAGTATGAATATATTAAAAAGTAAATTTTCTCTTTTTTTTTTACCACTGATGCTGTTTTTGTCATAGAAAACCCCATTCATTTGGCATCATAGAGAATAAACACAAAAAGCATTAAATCATCATCAAGTTACTGTATGCAATTAAATAAATACCAGTAAATGAAATAAAGCGCATTGGATCAAGCAATTATCATACATAAATGTTCAATAAAAAAAAAAAAAAAAAACGAAATTTAAGAGAAAAGAGCATATGATACAGAGATTTTAAAAACAGCCCATAAAGGTGTTTGACGGTAATGATTCCAATGAAAAGCTGAAATAAAAAAATTTAAAAAATAGTAAATAAAACATCAAAAATATCATTCAAAAATACAACACACAATTGCATGTAAATGGTATATACAGAACAAAAATAAAATTTTTCTTTCAATTATATTTTAATTTCCAATACAATACTTATAAATAATCCCAAATGGCATGTGATGTGCATTATAGAAATAGGTAAAACCACAAGGGGAATATATTACACTTCAATTAGTGTCCCCTGGGGGTAATAGGGGTACCCCCTATTCAGGGGACACCCCTAAGGGAACACTTGAAGGAAGGAAATTCAAGTTTGTATTTAACCCATCAATATACTGTTGCATTGACCTGAAACATCTTTGCCACTAAATCCCGCCAGGGGGCCTAGACAGCCAGCAGGCCCCAATCTAAGTTTTGTTTGGAAAATCCTACCTACGTGGCACACCCCAAGAAGCAGAGAGGGCAGTGGCAGCGCCAGGATTTCTCCTACGGGGATCCAAGGCCCAGGGCGGGGGATGACGTCCCCAACAAGAACAAAGTGGGCGCGGTAGGGCGTCATTAAAAATATTTTGTGGTTTCAAAGGCTTATTTAATCAATTTGAGAGTATAATTAACATGTGGATGTGGAAAATATATAATTTTATTTTCTCCCGGACGAATTGTGGTTTTTCTCAAGGGAAAGGGGGGGGGGGGGGTATNTGGGGCAAAGCCAATAGCAATATCATTTTGTACAATAGAAGATATAATAAAAACTATTCAGATAGTTTTCTCCTGATGATTATTAAAGCAACTCAATAGAAATGTCAAAACACTTTCAACAAAAACAACAGTGCCTATATACTGCAAGCAGTTATTATTATTAATATGCCATGCAAACCTTCAATAGTTTAAAACCATTCGGTCACGGCAAAAATTGATTGGATGTGTGAGTGAATTGATTTAATTTATTTGGCACAGTTTTTTGAGGCTCGACTCTCAACCTTGTGGTCAGGGGTTCGAAGCCCTCGCTGTGCAATTCTCTTGTGTCCTTGGGCAAGACACTTCTCTCTTTACCCAGGAGTAAAAATGGGTATAATGGTAATGCTGGGAAGGTAAACTCGCTGTGAGAAGCATTGCACAGTCTGGCCCCGGACTTGTACAGTTTCGCCTATCTCTTATTTTAAACATTATTTTTATTTATATATTACTGTAATTATGTATTTAATAAATGTATCACATGATATACAAAGAAGATATGTTAACAGATCACTAGCACCAATTGTAGATAAATATGAATTGATACATATAATTTATTGTGCATATATCAAAACAATAGTATTTCATAAATATTTTAAGTATTAGTACTCTGTATATCATCAATACGTTTTTAATGTGCATACTTAGGTGCACTTCAATTGCTAAATATACACTGATATGTCACTGATGAATAGATCTGGTTGTCTGTCTTGAGAATAAGGCTTGTGTCCTATAAATAAAATGCTCATTTGTGTTTCCGCCGCACCTTTAGGCTGTAACGATCAAGAGGAAACAGTCATTAAGAAACTGTAAGTAGCGGTTTTTACTACAAAGAAATGGGAATTTCGAACTAAGTAATGCGTATGCGCAGTTACCAAATAACGTCCATGAATTATCTATAAAAACACAGTGAGCATGCGCTTGGAAATGCTAGACAGCCAGTGAGCATTTGCATTGAGTAAGTGATGTTATCGAGCCATGTTGAGCATGTGCAGTTACCAAAAAGATGTCTCAGGAACCAAATAGCTGCTGCGAAGAGGGTATGATTACCAAAAAATTGTCTGAGGAACCAAACAGCGGCTGCGAAGAGTGGTATGAAATAGAAACGGATCAAACTTTATATGCAACAATTGAGCACGCGCAATTCAGCTAAGCGATCAGGTTACAGATGGAAAATAATGAGAACTCTGGTGGGTTGAAAAGCCTCTATTTTGGCTATCTTTACAGATCAGCGTTCGTCAGAAGAAATTTTAATTGAATTATCGCAAAAAAAGGTTTACTAGGCTCTATCGTCGTACCTACCTATGTAGGCCTATGCATTGCCAATCCCATAAAAAACTACGACAGAAACTATGACACAACCTAGGGCCTACTACTAGCCAAGGAGTAGAGCCAGGGTATTCCACATTTATTTTGTCGAAAAATACAGTGCCGCACGCTGGAGAGGGTTAGGGTTAACTATTAGGCCTAAAAAAAACCAAAAAACTTGTTTGTTTGCCGTCATCCGCTGCCCCTAAAATCTTTTTTCCACCCGCCCCTGTATTCAAATTTTTACAATGTGACAGCAAACAAACAAGTTTTTTTTAGGCCTTATCAAGATACGGTACCCATGTTTATTGACCCATAAAAAATAGCCACACACTGGCGGCAGTAGTAGAAGGGCCTAGCCAAGCTAGTGGGGGAGGGGGATGAATACAAATAAATAAAATAATATTAAAAAATAATATTATTATTATTATTATTAATATTAATAACAATAATGGTAAATATGCAGTTTGGCTCAGTGGTTTTCATTCTGGTTGTAAAATTTGTAGTCAGCAGTAGTACAAACCCAAACTGAAACGGTGTCCAACCAATCACGGGCAACCATGTATAGATACCCCGAATTGCATTGTTGACAGGCTGTCAAGTGGCTAAGGCTATGTTTCAGCCATAGGAGCTACCATTTTCATGGCATATAAATAAATTGGAGTTAAGTATTAAGCCTCTTAAAAAAAAAAAAAAAAAAACAGCAAAAAAAAACAAAAACAGTATTACCCCATGGATGGCAAAACGATCAAGGAAAACCAACGTAACAGATTAAGAGGCGAGATCGATATTTATAGGGGAAGAGGGAAAGGTGCAACACAGCAAGAGAGAAAGATAGATTTGGCAGGGGCGGATCCAGAAATTTCCAAAAGGGGGGGCCCGGAAGAGGGGGGGGGGGCAAAAGTTGGGCCGATTGAGACAACACTGTCGTAGGGGGTCCGGGGCATGCCCCCGCGAAATTTTTGTGTTCTAGACGCCCGAACATAACATTTGAGGCATTCTGGGCTATCATTTTTTTCTTTTTCTCTCTTTTTTTCTTCTTTTTTTCTTTTTTTTTTACCGGGGCCGGGCCGGGCCCCCCCCTAAATCCTCCCCTGTTTGGCGTCAACATCCTGAGACATTTGTGCAGCAGTGGACCGACAATAGCTGATGATGAAGCCTTTGAAGCCATTCCTGATGATGACATAATTAATGTCGAAATATTGAATCCCAACACGATGGCGTGTATTTCAATACTTGGAGTATGTATTATACTTTCTTAACTGAGATTAATTAGTGGACCTTTCGGTTTAAGCCTTTTGAAGGTTATTAACGTAATTAACTTATACACATCCTGGTCTCTTAACAACAGTGAACAAAAATAATACTAAATATAGAAATAAATAATAAAATTATTGCCGAAATATTACAATGAAAATCCAAATGGAAGAATTGAATGAGGTAAAGTTGTTGCGGCATTTTTTTATAGGAAATATTTCTTGTTTATTCTTTGTAGACCGTTCAGTAGTATTATACAAACATTTTAGTGTATTAAAATTTATTCTTGTCTTTATTTTTTTTTCTCCTCTTTTTCTTTTCCATTTCTCTTCCTCTTCTTTCTCTTTCCCTCCCTCTCCCCTCTTTCTTTTCTCTTATTACCCAGCCCGGTACGACGGCTAGTTCAGCCGGGGGGGACAGTCTGCCCCCCCCGCTTGTTACGCAACTGCCATTTCGGTGTAATAAGCGCTTTATAAATCTAACTACATTACATTACATGACAAACACCATGAACAAAGATGAAGTAGCACATAAGCTTTTACATATCTAC